ATCTCAAGAAATGGCCTGAAAGTGTTGTGATTCAATTCCTTTTTACCGACTGATTACAGGTATTTCGAGAAGTGTGATTGCGTGAAGAGATTGACAGTTGAGTTATTGAAGCTTTAATTGAGATAAGAATGTTTATTTTTTAACGATAAAGTGTAAATATTCCAGGTAAAACAGTCATGTCTCATCTGTTGTTGAACGGAGAAAGTTTACTGGAGTTTGGTCTATTCAACTAAAATCGTACAAGTTTATACACCCCTCAGTTTAAAATGAAGTGACTTGTGATTGTAGACGAAGCTTACAGAACTGTTTATTAAACTGAATTATTGGATTATTTCCTAGAATATGTAATCTGCTGAAAAATTCCAGAAGAGAACATTCAGCATGTGGCAATGGTGTGCTATTTATTTGATGTTTTTTCTTGGCATTTTGGATACAGGAGGTAAGTTGAAGTAATTTGAGTTGATCATTTATAAACAATGTCTACTAGCAGAACATGTACACAGTTGGTCTGATGGAATGAAAACCTTTGTCATTTCAAAATCAGCTGGCACAACATCTGAAATTACCATACCAAAAATGGATTTGATTATTAACTTAAACCTAATGACAATGATTGATTTGAATCATGTGGCATCAATCGGACTTAATAAGTCTCGGCCCTATATTTAAAATCAAAGTATTGTTTAGATTATTAAGTGAAGGCCCTTTTCTAGAATTTTAAGTCCAGAGAAAAATATTGACTTTTTGAATTTGGTTATTAGAAATTACAATAATATAACTCATTATTGTTTTTTAGACTAGGCCTGTTAAGTCAAGGGATTCATATATTAAGTGTATAACATAAAATGGCACCGCTGACCACAGACCTACAGATTTTTAAGGTTGGAGGGGGTGCCATGGTCTGAATTGTTGGGATTATGCTCTATTAGGGACCCTATAAAAGCCCTGTTCTTTTTAAATTTTCTAGTCAAGAAAATAAAAATAAAGGAAAGGTTGGTCAAAATTTATCTCATTGCATATTGCAGGCAGGTGTGGCTAAGGCCTTTTATCATTGGTAAGAAGATAAACTTACCAGTACAGAATAATATGACATAAAAAAAAACCCAAAAAATTATTGTTCTGTATCATTTTGTATCAGTTGCACCTACTCAACTCAGACAAAACTATGGTGAAATATTTTATCTCTGTATCCTGAATTCATTAGATTTTGCACTTGGTTTCTTTTCAATACAATTTATTATCTTGAATCTTGGTTTGGAGATCGTAAAAGTAGCCTAACTAGACACAGGACAAAAAATAGAAATAAAATTTGCATTCTAAAAACTATTTATTTTCTTTAATTAACCTTAAACTTTTTGTGAGATGAGGCTTTGATATTTTTCAAAAGTTAAAAGTTTTTTAATTTTCCATTATTTCAGAGTGATTTTATAAACGGATTTCAATGAAATTATTCAAATTACAAATCAGTTTTCATTCAAGCAAATATAATTTATGTAGATGACTGAAAATTGGCCATTTATTTTCGATAAGTCACATATCAAATTTTTTTTATTGAGCTAAAGAAATATTTCCCTCTATGTAAATTTCAAACCCACAATTCTGAAAGGAATATGCAAAAAAAATCCTATATTTAAGATTGAAGATAAGAAACTTTCAAAATGCATATTTTGAGGCAATTTTATGTGGACTCGTAATGGATTTTAATATTTTAATTTTTATGGTGTCGGTTAAAAATTTAAGGGATGGTAAAGAGGTTTTCAAACTTTTTTGAATCAAAAGATGTTTTTTATATGGGGACACTGATAGCATCAATTTGGATCAATCCAATTTTCTGTCATACATCTGTGGTTTGTGCAATTCCACTAAAACATTGCATCACTATCATAAAGAGCCTTATGATATAAGCAGATTTTGCAATAGTGATCTTATAAAATGCTTAGTTTTAGTGGAATTGCAGGAATCATTTTAGATCATTCAAATTTTGTCAGATGTCTGGTTCCTGCAATTTCACTATTGCGTTTTATGACGTTACTATCAAATATCCTTACATGATATAAGAAGGTTTTGCAATAGTGATCTGATAAAATGTTTAGTTTTAACGTTCTAGATGCATAAAAGTTTCGAAAACCTCTTTACGATAAGCGAACAAAGCAATGAATAATAACCCATGGAATTAAATTTTTTAAATGCTTTCTATTTTGTACCTTAAGCTTACAATTTAGAAGATTTCTGAATTTAGATATTTCGATATTAGTCTATAGCCTGCCTGAGCTCATCTTCAAAATGGAGAACTATGACAAAGTTAGTCTTATACCTTGACTGGAATTTCGACCTTTCTTGTATTAAGGAATACAGCAATTTGTTTGACTTGTACCCAAATAAATAGCCAATCAGAGTCCCCTACATATGGACTATAAACATTATGGTGTATTGTTTACAGACTGATTGGCTGTATTCACTTGTGTACAATCCAACCAAATCGCTGCATTTACTTTAGGCTTACATGATGAGAAAGGTGGCTTTTGCATTCAAGGTATGAGACACAGTGTGTAATATCTTGACATTGTGAAGATGGTCCTAACTGTATGTCAGAATGACCTGTGACTGAGATATAATGAATGAATGATGTTAATACTACACCCTAGGGATTACTGCCCTTGTCTTGTCACTCTACTAGACTGATTGTTAATTATACTTAATTATTTATTCATGTCTCTTGTTCTTAATCTGTCTCATCATCATCTTAATAGTTAGTCAACTGCTCATATTTAATTTCTCTCAGGATAACTATAACAATTGACATTCTAAATAATACTTACACACAGCTGATAACTAGTGCCTCATGCAATCATTGCACTTTTATCAAAAGCACATTGTTTCCCTACAAAAACCTGTTGTGAGCAAAATGTATATTTTTTTATTTAAAAAAAAATCTGTATCTGAAAATCAAACTTGAACTTGATTGAAATTAAAAAAGAAATTAACAAACGCTTTCATTTTCAAAAACTTTTGTAAATTTGTTTTTCAAAATTACATGTACATTCCTCTATAAATAAGCTTAAATGCTTAATATGCTTAAAGATGAACTCATGTCATTACATATAATTTTTTGTCTCTGACAATTTATCTCTGCCAGACATTTTTTTTACAAATGGTGCCAAATTTGGCAACCAAACCTGTAGCTTATAGTACTGTAAATTACTATTGTACTGTGTTTTGAAACTCCAGTAGGGCCTGACTTGTTTATATTATGAAAACCAACTGTGAACTACAAATGTAGGAATAATTTCTAACAACTATTTAGAGCTTATTTATCTAAGTTTAAAGGGACAGTCGGCAATTTTTTTTAACAATCATTCCTTAGTCTAAGAAACTGGAATTTTGTAGCCAAGCCAATCAGTTATAGTGTTCACGGCTAAATGTCAAAATTTGAGCCTTCAAATCCATGTGTGTCCAGAATTATCTGCGTTTGAAAGTTAAAAGGACGAATTGTCTTTTATTGATTCACTGCCATAGAAAAAATGTCTATAGAAATAGGAAAAGAAATTCCAAAATATTTTTGGAGGAATTTCTGGTACTCGGTACTTCTGAAGACTATTTACATATATTCAAGACCCAAATCAACTCTGCAAAATGGCGCACTGTCCCTTTAAATCAATGTTAGTCTGAATTTGAAATGAAAATCAGATGTTAAATTTATTGAAGACAATTCCCAATATACACAATTGATTTGATATGAATATGATGATATAGTCCCTGATATTTATTTTTGACAGCTGTCAGAAAAAATAACTCTAATTTTGGGGGAATTGTCACAGCGTTTTTGATCAGCGACACGATCACTCATTGTTGCGTGAAGTCCACCCTCTATCAGCATACCCTGAGAAGTAGCTAGTTATTTTATCAGCTTCTAAATCTCTATATTTTTGAGAATGTTCATTTTATTTGAAATTGAGATTTTTTGGTGTAAAGAGGTCACTAATTTTCAATCGGATAAGATATCTGTGGTTCTTCACCTTCTTAAAGGTCCATATATATCATCATTAAATGCTTTTATGGGAATTCCAAGAACCACAGATGTCTGATTAAAAATTGGAATGTTACAAATTGAAAAAAAAGTTTTGAAAATCTCTTTTCTTATTTTATAAAGCAGTTATTTTATTTGGTATAATTTAACCAGAACCTGGTTTTATAGAAAATTGTTAAAAAAAAAGTAACTGGTATTTTGTGTCCAAATTTTAAAATTTCAAAATATTTCAGAAATAAGCTTAAGCTTTGTTCATTAAAACTAAAAAAAACTAAATTTTGTTTGTGTATATTTGCATCTTAAAGTGACAGAAGATGATTCATGTGTTAAATACATCTGATTGGTCAATCACTACAATCGATTTTAAATTGAGTTAAAAAATCCAATCAGATTTCTTTATTTCATAAAATCTGGATCTTGTTTTTGATAAGACCCCTGTTGCTGTAAATTAAGATGAGAAATATTAAATAATACAATGCCATACAATGCCTTACAATACAATACAATACAATACAATACAATACAATACAATACAATACAATACAATACAATACAATACAATACAATACAATACAATACAATACAATACAATACAATACAATACAATACAATAAAATACAATACAATAAAATACAATACAATAGTGCCCTATATCTGAAATAAAATACCCTAAGACATTTTGAATTAAATTACCGGTAGTCTAAAAATCAAATAAAAAATTTTGTACAAGCTTATATTTGAATATAAACCATCTTACAGGCCTACTTCTATATGAGCTTTTAAACTAGTTTTTGACTATAGACTACAGTAGCCTATTGTGTTCACTGTTTGTTAAAGATCAATCTAATAGATTTTTTTCTTCTCAAATTTCACTTTTCACTTACTGTTTCCATTTTCAGTCTACTGTTATAATTATACAGTGATTTTATTATATTAATGCTAATTTAATGATGTTTATTTTTCAGTTTGGGGCCAACAGAGTTTCAGTATTTTACCACGGAATTTATCAGTGATACAGGGCCAATCAGCTGAGTTAAAATGTTCTGTGTCAAATAGAAGAGGGTCTATACAATGGACAAAAGATGGGTTTGCCTTAGGTAAATATTACTTCATTTCTTTAGCTAAAGGCTCTTTCACACTCAGTTTGCTACATATAGGTATAGTAGCTCATCTTGTTGGTGTCTTTTTTGTCTGCAGTAACTGAAGGAAAGAAATCCTTGACTTATAAGCTTTATAAAAGACAGCACACTCTGTCTTCATTGTGCTCAACCACACCCCCATTCATCATACAAGTGAGGAAATTTGGTATTCATAACTAAATATTGTCCAATCAAAATGGGACCTGAAATCTTTCGAGGGAAATCTCAGCCAATCAAATCATTCATTATGAATGCTTTGTTAGTGAACGTAAACATAACTAATACAGAGTGTCATTAAATGAATTAGGAATTTTGGTGAAAAATTGAAGCTGACAAAAAATCAAAACCAAAATGTATTTTGTTTATATGACCTAACTGTTCAACCTAAACCATTATCTGATTGGTCAGATATAAATACCACCAATATCATTTCCACACCCACAAACCGAAGTATAGCGGGCTTATTAATATGGTTAGACTGTCAAAACACATACGAGGATACAGTGACTATTGCTCAGGCAGAGCTGTTCATTATGTGCAGCTCCCACCACCGACTTCAATCAAAACCGAAATCACACACATTCGGATTTGTCAAAATTACGTATTTTTAACCAGGAAGCCATGGTGAGTGGTGACCCCTGAACTCAACCTGAAAAACTGCCTCCTTTATTTAAATGAAGCTAATTTACAAACCTATTCAAAATTGATACCAAACATATAAAGTAATAAGAGAAAAATAAGCAGTATGAGTAGCGTGAAGGGGCCTTTCATATTTACCTCTAACAATTATATTAAAAATCTCAATTTGGATACATCTAACCATTGATTTATATTCAATGAAAAAGAAATGTCTATATTTGTTTTAGTATTTTACGTGCCAAAACGCTAACTAACTCTGATTGATGGATTACGTGCATGATCTTTTTATGACATTTCATATTTCATATAACATTTAAATAGCAAATAAGGTCGAACAACTTGTCAGAAAAGGCGACAAAAGGAAATTTCTCGTCAGTTTTTTGCTCTAGAAAGTTTGAGAATTTAATGAACTCGATAAAGTTTTTGCATGGAGGATGAAAGTGATATCCTGGTTAAAATGATAAGATTTGAATGAGTTTAAAGGGACAGATTTGCTGTTTTTTTGACCAATCCTACCTTAGTCTTAGAAACGGGAATTTTTTAGCTGAGGCAATCAGTAATATTGTTCACTGTTCACTATCGAAATTTGAGCATTCAAATCCAGAATTATCCTCGATTGAAAGTTTTTCTTTTTGAGACAATGCTGTTATAGAAAAGACATTTATAGAAATAGGAAAAGAAATTTGAACATAGTTTGAGATATTTTTGAAGGAATTATGAGATTCATACATTTCTAGTACATCTGTCCCTTCAATGAACTTGGTAATGTTTTTGTATGAAGAATAAAATGTGATATCCTATATTAAATGATAAGATTTGAATGTGTTTAATCTATTTGGTGTATTACTTATCACACCTAATTAACTTGTATTCAACTTGATAGATCATATATAACATGTCTCTATTATACACTTTGACTTTAATCTCAACCTATTTCTTGGATCAATTGCTATTTGATTGAGTTTTGATTGGAAAAAAATAAGCTTACAATATTTTTAGATTTAATGTGGCGGTTGACATTTTTGATATTTTGTACTAATTTTCACTAATATGATTAGTATAGTAAATTAATATCTCTAGCCATTTGAACTCTCTGATTTCCTTGTTGACAAATCCAGGTGTATGGTTGCAACAGGTGTTCTTAAAGGGTGAGCATACCCTGCAGTGCCGAGGACATTTACCACAATTAAGCTTACTTATTATAAGCTTATTGAAGCTCAAAATCTGTTAATTTTGGACTTTAAGAGCTTAAAGCTAAGAATTTAATATGATCAAAGTTATTGTCTCATTGGTAGGGAGGGGTAAAATGATCGAAATGATAAATTATCGTCGCTAGGAATTTATAATTTTAATTATCTATTGTCAAATTTCATAATCGATTGTATGTCAAAGTTATATTTTTGTTATACACCCGTTAACAAGTAGTAATCTCTTCTACATAGTTTCCCTTCAGCACATAACATATATCCATAATAAACTATAATGACTGATCAAAGCAAGAATATACTTCTATGTTGCAAAAATTACCCATGAAATTAAGAAATGTTTTTAATTTAGTATTTACTGGGTTTCTCATTGAATTATTGAGATTATTAATCGATTAGTGGTTGGTTGTCTGCCATTGTTATTTGATCTCAATTTGGTAATCGATACCCAACTCTACTTATTGATTAAGTTCCTTTAATTCTGTCTTGTTTTTTTGGATCAATTGCAATTTGCTTGATCTTAATTTTCCATTAAAAAACTCTACAAAAGGAATGGTTGACATTTTTAAAACTCAATTTTGTCTTTTTTAATAAGTATTTTTTGATCAAGTTCAATTAAAAGAAATTCTCTTCTTTGAAAGAGACTGTTGACATTTTGTACAAGTCAAATTTTCTTGTTGTTGATTATTTTCGATTAAGCAGGATTTTAAAGATGAACTTTATAATGGTTGAAAGCTTTTAGATGACTGGCCTGTGTTTCATTTGTCTTAAATTCTTAGACAAACAGATTGCATTTAGATAACATGATAGAAATTTAGACAACTACTGTCATTAAGTTTTTTATAAAAAACTAGGCGAACAAAAACAGACAGAATAGTTCGAGAGGATTGTCTGATAGGATTTTTTGCAACCAAAAAAAAAAATTACCTCAGAGGCCTAGTAAAAGGATTGATATTCTGATCTAAGCTTATGTCATGGCACAGAAAAAAATGCATCACTCAAGGGGATTTCAAGACATTAATTGATGCCTGTTTCTAACAAATCAACCAAAACAAAAACAATTTGAATGAAGTTCAGGTCAAAGTGGATTTCGTTATTGAACTGAATAATCTGAATCAGTAACCAGTTTTAGGAAAGATGTTAAAGTGGCCATGAGGAGATGAACATATCAAATCAATTAAACAGCTAACTTTTGTGCTTGCATAATCTTTAACAATTTCAAGTTGAGGATAATTCTATTTTAAAGGGACAGATGCACCATTTTTTTTTTATCAATCCTACCTTAGTCTCAGAAACAGGATTTTTTTTGCTAAACCTATCAGATATAGTGCTAACAGCTCGCCATCAAAATTTGAGCTTGCAGATCCGTGTGTGTCCAGAATTATCTGCATATGAATGTTAAAATGATGACTCAGTGATATACTGTATATAGATAAGACATAAATAGAAATAGAGAATAAAATTCCTAGTTTGAAATATTATTAAAGGAATAAGTTTACTGCTACAAGATATCAGAAGGTGTTTGTTACCTTACACAGCAACAGGACTTGTTAAAATGAATGAAATTTGTAATATTTCAGGTTATGACCGAGACATCCCTGGATTTAGACGGTACTCTATTATTGGTAATAATGAAAGAGATTTTAATTTATTAATAACTAATACTATGATAATTGATGATGCTGAATATCAGTGTCAGGTTGGTCCAGCTCAAAGCAACCCTCCTATATCACATGGTGCTTATCTTACTATATTAGGTAAGTTTTTTTTACCATTTGTTTTATAGCTAGAATTTACCAATTTAAAATTGGAAAGGTTTTTTAAATATATACAAAACTTGTCGTGCAGAACATAGATGGACAGCATCAGAGTTTCTATAGTGCATTCGCTTAGAGTGTTGGTTCTTTACATGACGTCATTTTGCTTGTGTTCCAATCTCTATCGGCGTGCGATTGTCTGATGACCTTAAATAAGTCCTCTTTCACACATGATTCCAGTTGACCCAGCTGTAAATGGGGCCAGATAATCCGAGAAAGATCAATGCCAAGAGGTTTGGTTAAGGACCAGCTAGTACAAAGGATCCTTAACTGTGAACCTAAATTGTTATCCTTGCAAAATATAGTTTTTTTTTTTAAAGTTTAAATATATGTTTCTGCGCTTGTAATTTTCTTCCTGATGTTTTGAGCTTTTTATGAATTTTCTTTTTTTTGTGCTCTTATTTGTTAAATTCTGTGGGCCTCATTGTCTTCTGTTTTGTTGTTAATGTCTGATTCTACATCTGTAAATTGTAAGATTAACATCAAAATATTAGAAACTGTAGAAGAATAAAGTTATAACTTTTTATTTGAAATACAATTTCCCTCAGTTTGATAGAAAATGTTTTAAAAGAAAAGGTTACTACTTCAATCTAAAAGATTATATTCCAATTCACATTAAAAAAAAAAACCTTTAAAACTTGATTTGCTAACACAAGAAAGAAGACAGTATTCTAACTGAATTAGTAGAACTTTATAAGCTCATAAGTACTAGAGTATGTATGAAATTTCAGAAATGGTCAGAAATTCACATTTTCAACACTATTCCTTACCTTTCACCAGAGAAATTAAAAGCTAGGTACCAATACTGGTACTTGACATGTTATTATTATTTCTACTTATTATTAACCTTTCTCTTGTAGTGCCACCTGAAATGCCAGAAATATTAGGTTATACTAATGGTTCTGTGGTGGAATTACCAGATTCCAGAGACCTATTAAGATTAACCTGTGTGGCAAGGAATGCTCGACCTGCTGCCGATATCACATGGTACCGGAATGGTGAACAAGTCACCAGATCTATTAACTATGTGACCGAAGAGAGTGACCAACAGTCTAAGTATAGAACAGCTAAAAGTACTATAACTATCAGGCCTGAACGAAATAGTGATGAGAATAATGCGTATTATACTTGTCAGGTTACTAATGATGCAGTTGTTGGTGGACCATTAAAAACTACTGTACAAATTAGTATTCTTAGTAAGTAGAATTCCACTATCTACTATATTGATCTCATAGAGTTCCACAGTAAAACTTACTATACTTCAGTACATGTTTACACAGTTCCTGGCATTCCACATCATACATGAAATTCTAAACCATTCTTTCAATGACTTTTAAGGAACACAGCATTATTGATCTTTTTTTCAGTAATTAATGCCAATTTGGAAATCAAAATGATTTTCTGTTTGAGAATTTCTAGCAATGATTTAAAAAAAACATGCAGGCAACATGTGTTGAACCAGTCAAATACTGTGTAATTGTTAAATTTAGAATTTGAATTATTGTAAAAACATAAAAAAGTGAATTTTTCTGTGATATTTATAGTTTAACATGAACTTGTATTGTCAGAGCACTGTTAAAGGGACAGTGGTGCCATTTACAGGGGGGTGGGGGGTTGAGTTGAGTATTGAATGTATGTAAATAGTCTTAAGGAATACTAGAAATGTTAGAAATAATGCTTAATTCCTTTAAAAATACCTCAAACTAGTAGGAATTTCTTTTCATATTTCTATTGATGTCTTTTCTAAATGGCTGTTTCTCAAGAAAAGACACGTCTATTTTACTTTTAATCACGGATAATTCTGAACATACATGGATTTGAAGGCTCAAATTTCCACAGTGAGCTGTGAACACTATTACTGATTGGCTGAGGTAAAGATTCCCCTTTCTGAGACTTAAGTGTGATTGGCCAAAAAAATGGCGCAATTGTTCCTTTAACAGTGAATGGTTGGATTAAACTTACATAATGACAACTTTTGACACTATTGGGTCCAAAATCAACAGAACACAGTTTCATTCATTATGACAAACGTAGTAATGAAAAACATTAAATAAAATATCCAGCTGAGCATTTTAATGATTATAAATAATGCTTTAGTTTAAAATGTCATTTAATTCAGTAGCAACTAAACTGTAAAAATAGGTTAATGGAATTGTATTAGTAATGGAGAGTTGGAAATAAAGTTATAGTGACAAAACTTTTGAAAAGTGGACAGAATAAACCTTTTTCACTTATTACAGTATTAAAGGACATTTTTTTTTACCAATCATACCTTAAACTCAGAAACCAGAATTTTTTAGCTAGGCCAATACTTAAAAGTGTTCACAGCTCACCGTCTTCAAATCCAGGTGTGTTCAGAATTATCCGCGTTGAAAGTTAAAAAGACTAATCGTCTTTTTTTTGAAACACTGCCATATATAGAAAGACATCTATAGAAATAAGAAAAGAAGAAAAGAAGTAATTTTAAAGGAATTATACCATTTTTGTACATTTCTAGTAAGCTTACTTCTGAAAACTATTTATGTATTCAAGACTCAAATCAACCCCCAAAATGGCGCATCTGTCCTTTCAACAAAAAGCCATATATTGATGAACACAGGAAAAAGGATTTGGTTTTCTGCTATTACAAAGGTGGCACATTCTGCCTTTGAAGTATAATTCATGATGAAATTATCACTACATAATTATATTACAGTCATTTTACCATTTATATTAATAGATATGTACCTTTTCATTATCATCTTGCTAAATTACTCTAACATTTTCACTTGTTAGTCCCTTTAGTAATGCAGTCATTTAATTCAATTATTGGCTGCTAGACTGTGACCTTTAGTGACCTTCAACTACTTTGAAAGGTCATAATGCAAATTAAGTGGTCCATCTTCTCTCTGTGAGTCAGTGATTTGCATATTTATAAATGATAAATGTCAGTGCATTTTATACAGACTCGTGTACTAGTAGTTTAAAAATGTAGAACTTTAACCTTGCCTGTTGTATTGTAATGTATTAAAGGGACAGATGCACAATTTTTGGAGGGTTGATTTGAGTCTTGAATATATGTAAATGGTCCTCAAAAGTACTTGACATGTACAAAAATCACATAGTTCCTTTAAAGATTTCTCAAACTAGGAAATTCTTTTCATATAATTTTATAAAGATAGGAAAGTAAAGACAACTATTTTTTTTAACTTTATAATTTTTGACACACATTTATTTGAAGGCTCAAATTTCGACAGTGAGCTGTGAACCCAATTGCTGATTGGCTAAGCTAAAAAATGGTTGATTGGTAATAGAAATGGTACATCTGTCCCTTTAAAATAAAGAAGTGGCTGTACATGGTAGCTTTAAAACAATGAGAACTTTGAGTAAGATTAGGATAATCCTTTCTCCTATTGAACACAAATCTACAGGTTTTTTTGAAGCATGAGTATTCCTCATTTGATGAGATAAAATTACGGCAAAATCTCCAAATTGTATCATTTTTAATGACTTTGTTTAGCTGTAATTTGAACTACTTGTTAAAAGGGAACAGTTGGCATTTTCGGGGATTGATTTGGGTCTTTATTGTTCTTTAATAGTCTTAAATTGTTAAACGCACGAAAATCGCATAATTCCTTCAAATAAACCTCAAACTAGAAATTTCACTGTCTATTCCTATATAATATGTGTTCTCTATAATATGGCATAGTCAAGTTGAATTTTTAACTTTCAAACGTGAATAATTATGGATACACATGGATTTGAAATCTCAAATTTTGACAATGAGCTGTGAACACTATTAATGATTATGTAAGCTAAAAAAATTCCTGTTTCTGAAACTAAGATATGAATGGTCGAACAGATAGTGAAGGTGCTTCTTTGAATAAAGTTATAGGTTATTGTGTATTTTAACTAAATAATTTAAATACAAGCAGTCTTGTGAAGACAAAATGTTTTAAGTGTTATTTTAAAAAAGTAGAATTTCTTGGTATATTGATATAAGATGTTATTCCAGTGACTAAATGTTTTACAGAAAATACCAAAGACTATGTTAAGCTTAAACGACATAATGATCCATCATATAGATCTATAAAACTGTCTAAAATAGACAGACACTGTTATCCAGTATGTAATAATAATGTCTATTAAGTGTATCTCTATAACTCTTTCACAATACTTATGTTTTAAAAAACTATTTTCTGTCTACTGGACAATAATTACATTTTCTAATAAAGTTATATCAATCTTTTTTTAAAGCCAATCCAGTTTGTTCATTTATATAGTAGATTTTATATTAAATTAAAGGGACAGATGCACCATTTATTTATCATACCGGTACTTTACTAAGAAACTGGAATGTTTTTAGCTGAGCTAATAGTGTCCACAGCTCATCGTCGAAATTTGAGCCTTCAATCCATGCGTGTCCAGTATTATCCGAGATTGAATGTTAAAATGACGACTTGCCAATTTAAGATACTTTGTGATATATATAGAAAAAGTGAGTAAAATTCCTAGTTTGAGGTATTTTTGAAGCAATTATGCAATTATCGTACATTCCTAGTACTTCTGATGACTATTTACATATATTCAAAACTAAAATCAACCCCCCAAAATGGTGCATCTGTCCCTTTAAATTAAGAATTGAAGTAGTGAATACCTTGCACAAAAATATATTATATAGAAAAACAAAATCCAGTTCCAAGGGTGTGGCACATTCTACTCTCACCCAATGACTATATTATATATATATATATATATAATGTATAAATTTGTACAAATCAAAAATGAACAATTTTCAGAAATCTGAATACAAGCTGTGTAATACAAATTGTGCATCATTATTTTATGGGAACTGTTTATTTGAGAATAATTGTTTTAGTTTTATTTGAAAATTACTTTATAATATAAACTTTTCAAAGTTTAAAAGACTTCTGCCAATTTAAGGTAATAAAAGTGAAAATTGATAAGTTTTATGTTATTAAGGACTGTT